GCTCAGGACAGCCTGAGAGGCAGCTAAGTCGGACATCATTCTCTTTGTCATGTGCATTCGTAGATGACAAGTGACACAGCTTGTTGGTGGGAGGCCGGGACTGTGCATTTGTCCAGCTCCCCTGTCCAGAGGCCACATCTGGAGTCGGGGGAGCAGGGGGCTTGCTCCTTGCCTGGCCTCTGCGCCTGTCTCCTCTGGTGGGTCGGGAGAGCGGTGGCAGTGTCAGGCACGTCTGTCACACACCCTGGCCCTAATGCTCTCCGACAGGGGCCAGGGAGAGGCAGGCCCAGGTCTCGGGAGCCAGAAGGCAGCCCGGCCTCCAGTTCCAGCAGGACTGAGCCCGTCCCGCGTGCCAGCATGCCTCGCCTCTGCTTGCTCGGGCTGCATTCGCACCAGCCACGCAGCTCTGGCTTCGTGCTTCCCGTTGGGGTGGGACACCCGGGCTCTCATGTTAGGGAGGGAAGGGGCAGGTGGCTGGGGACAGGTGCTCCCCAGCTCTGTCTCTTTCCCGCTGCTCCCTGGCCTGGGAGGGAGAGCTCCTTTCCCAGCGGCTCTTTCTGCCCACCCGCCACCTCTCGCCCTGTCCCCCAGAGCCACCGCGGGGGCTGGGAGGCTTGCTGTACCAGCGCCTGCCCAGGCCCTCCTGGAGCACTGCTTGTGAACCCAGACCCAGCTCCTCCCACACAGGGACAGTGCAGGGGCTGGGTCATTGCCTGGAGTTGCCTTGCCCTCCCATGCTGGACCCCAAGATTGCAATAAAAAGAAATCGATGTCACACTCTGAACACACCCGGGTCCAGGGTCTTTCTTTGTGTGTTCTCTTTCTTCGCTTCCCGTGGAGACTTCCAGGTCCCAGAGCAGGGCTTAGGGGACAGGGGAGAGCCTGCTGGTGAGAGGGCTCCAGAGGCCCTTGCTCGCCCTGGTTCCACACACGCAGGACGGTGCCCAGCCCCATGCGAGGCCTTCAGGGACAGGGACAGAAGCCAGGTCAGGGAGGCAGAGCACCCACCTAGGATACCTTTGGTCATGTCTCACCGGGATGCACCTTGAAGTGCGATGGTGCTAAACGATCTGGTCCTGTGTCTCCTGACAGTTAGGGTTCCCAGGGAGGATCCCCTCCTTTCTGCAGGAGAGTCCAGAGCGTCAGGGTACTTTAAGGACCCTGAGACCTGAACCTCGGGGGGACATGTCCCTGCTGTCCTGTTGTGAGTCTGTTGCAGGTGAGGCCCTGCACATCCAGATCCAGGGCTTCTCAAAGTGGCTCAGGTGGCTTCCTCTGGCTCTCCCGGGAGTGTCCTCGGCAGTGTCCTGGGCCTTGCCCTGGCTTGCTGCCCCTCCACAGCTTCCCCCAGGCAGGAGTCCCCAGGTCTTGACCCGGAATCCCTTTCTGGATGACCCTAACTACCTCTGGCTGTGGAATCCGACCCTCCTCAGCAGGGTGCCGTGGACATCGAGGCTCCCCGCTTCCAGGAGGGGCAGAGACGCTGTGGAAGGGGGCTGGGGTCCCCCTTCACCCCCACGGTCAGTGTGACTGGCTGGCTCCTCCCTGGCCCTGGGTCAGGAGGGGACAAGTTGGAAGCAGTGAACCTGAAATGGAGGTCGGAGTAAAGGGACGGTGGGGCGGCGGGGGGGGACTCTTGACAGTTTGGGATGGAAAAGATGGCCACACCCGTTTCTTGACGTCCTGCGGCCTGGGAGGCCAGCGTGTGAGAACAGGAAGAGCAAGTGGACAGTGTGTGCTGGACGTGAGCTGGGGCCTGCTCCAGCTTCCCACAGGAAACCATGAAGGTGGCCTCCAGAGGTGGGCTGGGAGGGGTGCCGTCCAAGGCCAGGTGACCACCTGGAGGGCGGGCGCAGGACCTAAGGTCCCTCCCAGCCCGAGGCCTAATGTAAGGAGACAGAGTCCAGCCCACTCCCAGGCCTGGCCAGGTCTGCCTGCCCCCTGGAGGGAGCAGCAGGGCGGAGCCTGGCCTTCGCAGGTCCCCTCTGAAGAAGGGGGTGCCTGGTGGGTTACTTTTCTCAAGTTGGAACCGACAGTCATTTCCTGACCCAGCTAGAAAACATGGCGCCCTGCTCAGACATGGTGGGCCAGGGCTGGGGATTGCCTCTGTGCTCATCTGTCCAGGACCCAATGCCAGCAGGAACGTAATGACCCATCAACCCCATGAAGGATTCCACCCAGAACCCCCGCCTGCCCCTAGACGGCTCCAGAGGTGCCGAGTCTTCCGGTAGGATCTGGACTGCTGGCCAGTAAGCCCTGCCCTGCCCAACAGCCCTGACTGGGCGGCTCTCGCCTGCTTCTCAGGCCTCCTCTCCAACAAGGGGGTGACCTGGCAGCTCGGGTCGCAGACCTTTCACTCCCTGGAAGCCGCGTGCTCTGCCGGGAGAGCTCTTGCTTACCTGCACCCTGGTGATGGGGCAGCAGGACTCTGAGACTGGACCAGGCCACTAGGTGTTAGCCCAGAATGCTTAAAAAGGCAGACGTGATGAGAGGATTCGCTTTACCTCGAAAATTATACCAACGCGATCTTGGCAGGGGACTTTGTTGTGGTGACTCACCGAGAGCTGCCATCTATGTCTTATTTCAAATGCCAAGTTGAAAACCAAACCCAAGAGGCAGAACACGCTGGGGTCTGTCTTTGAAAATGCCTTGCCATCTACTCAGAGGCCTGGGGTGCTCTGTCGAAGCATTGGTTCTTGGGTAGAAAAGCACCAGGGGATGGAAGGGGAGATGGACGCGCATCTTCCTAAACCTTATGACCGATTCCAGAAGTTGCTCTGTGGAATCAACGGATCCCTGATCCCTGTTACCTGTTCCTCGGTTGTCTTTTCCTTGGAAAGTCGAGTGATGGGGAAATGAGTCCATCCTTTCGAGCTTGAAGTTGTTTAGACTCCAACAGGAGGGGACAAGGGGCGGTGGTCTCCTCCCCCTGTGTTCTGTGACCCCAGGGACTTTTGAGAACAAGAATGAATGGAGGGTCGCCTTCCACACGCAGCCGGGACGGAAACGTTTGGAGCTACTGCGGTTGCGTTCTGTGCAGACGACTGGGTTGATGATTTGGGGATGTCAAATTGCAGAGTCTAACTAAATTGGGGACTGGAAATTATTTTATATGTTCAGGAAAAAAATGTGGGCACGTATGGAGAGAAGGAGAGCTCTGCCGTTGGAGAATTCGGACGGGGAGCTGTGACCAGGGATGACATCTCGGGGCCCCAGATCCTCTTGGCTCTAAGTTCTTGGCTCACACCATCAAGGTTGGGTGCGTGGAGATAACCACGTGGTTTTCACAGCTCTGAGGCCCAGATCCTGGACAAGATGAAGTTCTTGCTCCAGGGTGGAGCTTGTGACTTGCTTTGAAGGGGAAAGCTGCCAAAGCCGGGGTTCTCTTCCTTCTCTTCCCTCTGTCTCGTTCTTAGTTCCTCTGAGTTGTGTGCTACGTTCCGTTGCCAGAGTGGACGGTGCCCTGGGTCCCAGTGGACCCCTTCTAAGGCGGCCGTGCCTGCCTCCAAGGCAGACTTAGGTGAGGTCAGGTTGGACGTGAACATGCTGGCCCTGTCCCTGGGGCACTCTAGTGTAGACTCTCAGTGCTGCTGGCCCCTGTGCCTACCACCACTGTTRGAATGAGCATCTGTCTATATTTTTTCTTTCTACGTGGGAGATATAAATAGTAAAAACAACAGGCTCATTATTGAGGAAACCTGTAAAGAACTGAAAATCACAAACAAAATCCAATCACCATGGATCCTACTGTTAGGACACGGCTCTGCGTCCTGCAAGCCGTTTACAGGGGCCGGTTTTCAAAGCATGATTGGAACCATAACGTAAATAGCCCTGCCTCCTCCTGTTATTCTTGCTCTGCGTTGTGTCAGCACGGTTTTGCCATGTGACAAAAGATTCTTTGCAAACATTTTTTTTTCTGGGGACGAGTAACCTGCCACCGTGGAATGGACCCTCATTTACTCTGGTTTTTGAAATTCAGATATTTGGGCTTTTGCACTTTTGTAAAGAGCGAGCCACGTGCGTCGTGGGTTGGGAGGTTGGCGCGCCCGCCGTGCATCTTATTGCCTTGGGTCTGTGTTGCCAGTTTGTTTCCCAGAGCGGGGGGGGGGGGGGGGGGGGGGGGGGGGGGGGCTGTGCGGGTGACCACTCTGGGAGATGCCTTCCTTGCTACCTGTATCAATGTGCGTGTTATTGTTTTATTATTTGATTTTAAAGCCGCGTTGGTGCTTTACCTGCCCACATGGAAGCCCTAGTGATGGTGGGAAAGCACAGGCCTCCCCGAGCTGCACCTCCCGTTGATTGGCTGTGTGTCCTTGGACAAGTTACTTAGCCTCTCGGAGCCTCACTCTCTGTACCTCRAGTCATTTAACTAGATTAAGCAGTGTTTGCCAACCTTTCATTGTCCCCTACCTCCTCTGTCCCCACGGGACCCTCTGTAAAGACTTGGGATCTTTAACATTTATGGAATGCGGTCCTGGGCACCCTTGCCCTGTGGGTTCTTTCTGCGAGGTTTTGTGAGATACTGAAAACAGCCCCAAGAGCCCACCCTTCCCATCAGTGGCCTGTGAGGGTCAGGGACCCTGCAGTAAAGGAGCTGGGGTGCAGCTCAGTGACAGAATGACAGCCTCGCAGGCACCAGGCCCTGGGTGACATCCCTGCACTGGGTGACATCCCTGTCCTGGGGAAAAAAATAGTGAGGAGCGGAGGAGCCTATGTGTTCCAGGCACCTTTAATCTGCTGCCACATCTGACATTCACCATAACACACAGGCAGAGCAGGGCTGTTGACAGTCCCTGGGAACAGATTCCTAGAGGCCCAGGGATGTGTTTGAAGTCCCAGGAATGGCACCTGCAGGACAGGACCCTTCCCCAGAAGGGCAGCTGCCTCACCCGCCTCGCCGGTGCCCGTGAACTTGTGACTCGTAACCCTCGCGCCTGCGCCCAGCCCTGCCCTGCCCTCCCCCGGCGGCCGCGGTTCTCACCTGTTCCCCTCGCCCCCAGGTACGTGGTCATCTCCCGGGAGGAGAGGGAGAGGAACCTGCTGGCCTTCCAGCACGGCGAGYGCATCTACTTCCGCGCCTGCAGGGACATCCGGCCCGGGGAGCGGCTGCGGGTCTGGTACAGCCAGGACTACATGAGGCGCCTGCACAGCATGTCCCAGGAGACCATCCACCGCAACCTGGCCAGAGGTGAGTGTGCGGAGGCCACGCCCTGGCCTCTGTGGGTCCCCGGGGCTTCCAGAGGACACCCAGGAGGCGCAGATTCAAGCCCCAGCCCGGGAAGACGGGGCCATTCAGGACCTCAGATGGCCCAGATCCGCGCCGCGCTCCAGGCCACGCAGTGACCGCCTAGGGTGTCCCCTCCCCTGCAAGATGGTCTCAGAAATCCCAGAGCACTGGGAAGAGAGGACCCCACGGCCAAGGGACGAGGCTTAATCCCCTGACCCGGTCTCCAGCTCAAAGTGATGAAAAGATGTCACACTGCCGACACCTCAGCAGTCACAAGGACAGACGACATCTGCTGAACGCCCACCGAGGGCGGCTTGGGTCTCCACATGCTCCCAGGGAACTCTCACGATCGGGCAGCTCCCCCCAGCATGGGGTGGGAACTCGGGGAGCCAGTGAGGACCGTGTGTAGAGCAGGGTGAAGTCCCCAGGGCAGACCTTTAACAGTGACAGCCCCACGTGGACGATTATCCCATCACCAACGGTGACTCACCCTGGGTCAGGTGCTGGGGAGGGCAGCCTGGGTTCCTGTCCCACCACTGTGACTCCAGGTGCTGAGTTCCCACCTGGTGGCTTCTCAGACAAAATCAGTCTCGTCCCCGCTTCCTGCTGGCCTCACGATCAGCCGACCTGGGGAACGGATGTAAAAGGACAGCTGCTTCGGAGGGAGTCCAGGAGGGCTGGGCAGGGGACGCGGGCCTGGGAGGCGGGCGGCTTGGTCGTCCGGGCTCCCTGTAAACAAGTCATTTGGATGTGGTTGAAAACACGGCCCACGCTGCCCTGCACCTTCTCACTCCACCCTCAGCCTGGCCAGGGTAACTAGCGAGTCTGGTCCTTCTCTCCAGGGGACCTTCTTACCTCAAAGCCATATATCCAAATGCCCAGAGTCCATCTGGTGCCAGGAGCCCAGGTCGTGCCCGAGCCCCACCCTGTCGTGTTTCTGACCAGCCGCGTATGTGAAGTCTGTCAATCGGGAAGATGGTTGGAGCAGATGGGAAGGGGTGGGTGACTCCCTGAGGTTCAGCTGTCTTTAGAGACAAGTCAGAACAATGCAAATCCTGGAAACCGAGGGCACCGCTGCTGCCTGGCTTGGTAAAAGGTACCTGGTGACCAATGGGCAGTGAGAGGGGATCAGTAGTCACTCTTACCTCTTGGAACATTCTTGTCCTCTTTGGAACCGGGGGGAAAGCCCTGCTGATCTCACGGGGAAGGCATGCTCCCAGGCTGAGATTACGGGGGCATCCACCTGACCTCGGAGATGCCTCCTATAAAAGTGTCTGAAGCTCAGTGGGTCCTCAGTCACTCTTCGCTGCGTGGACGAAAGAAGTGAATGACGACATCAAGATGTTTCCAAAAGAGTCCCGCCACCCGGAGAAGAGGAGAGCAAGGGAAGTCCTGCTGAGGATGCAGGTCTCATCCCCTGGCCAGGACCTTCTTCTGGGCGTGTGATGTCCTCTTCCACCCCCAGTGACCTCTCCAGAGCACCTCAAGCTGCAACATCCATCTTCAGAGAGCTGGGACACCAGGGGACCACTCAGGAGTGGTGGCTTGAAGGAAGCGTGGCAGACAGACTTGAAGGGGGACGTCCAGAGCCGCGTGGAGCTCCAGGAGCGAGCAGCGTCCGGCCAGCCAGGCTGAGGGGTGGGGAGTGGGGAGGACGCTGACAGCCACGTGGGACAGGACCACAGCTGTGGGTGTTCTCGGCCCCGAACCAGCCCTCGGGTCCAGTCACGGAGCTTGGTGGCATTTAGACGTCTCTTGGTAGCTTTTGCTTTGGCTTATCCTGGCCCTTTAGTGTTGGCTTAGGTTGGCCCTGCCAGTCCTGCTCTTGAAGGACATCCCTTCTGAGCAGGGAGCTTGCTCTGTCACTGAGGGTGATATGCCAGGCAGGCCAGAGCAGGAGTCACGAGTCCTGCTCGGGCAGGGACACTGTTGGAACCCGCAGCTTACCTGAAGAGAGTCTCGGTTGTTCCCTGTGGTTATCACTGAAGGACGGGATGGATCTCATGCTCATATTCAGAAAAGTTCTTCTTTGATTGATTTTGAGTTATTGATCTACTTTGAGGTCTGGGTTGGTTCCCCCCGCCCCTATTTCCTTGAGATCTTGGAATCAAGCTCACATTATTTTCCATGAAGCCTGAAGTCCAGAGCAGCCTCCCGCTGGCCCTAGCATATCGCACAGGCTTGGTCCTCCCACCAGGGCCCGAGGAGTCCCTGGTGGCTTGCAGCCTGGACCTCCCCACTGCCCCCGCTGTTGGCTGTCTGGTCCCTGGTGAGGGGGAAGGGCAGCCCTGGACGTGTGGCTATTCCAAAGGGGCCAGTGCTTCTTCTGATCCACAGGACAGGTGTGTTGGGTCTTGCTTTAGTGAGTGCTCTCCATTTCTCCTCTGCTCTGTAGCCCAGCTGATAGAGAAATGCAGGCTGAGGGGAGCCATCCCGTCCCGGGAGCCTTGGAGACAGGCTGTTCCCCAARCATTCATGTGACAATGACAAGGGCATCCAGATAGGTCCCTCCTTTTTGTGTGGTCACTGTGGGAAACCTGGCGTTGGACCTGGGGCAGGGCATATCACCGGCCCCAGCATGGAACATCGAATGGAGATCCCTCGGCCGGCCTCTCGCCAACCCCGCCACGAGAAGCCGGGTTCCAGTGCCTCTTCAGTCATTTCCTCGTCACGTCAGCCAGGGCCCTGCCCCGGCCCCTGCCTTAAGAAGCCTTTAAGATTTCTAAGCTCCACAGACAGCTGTGGGAATATTCTGGGGACTGAAGAGGCTCCTCTGTTCCTGAGCATCTCCCCCTCAGGAGTCATCAGCCCTCTGTCCGTAGGCTCTGCAGCTGGCTGCAGTAAAGGACGAGGCTACAACAACCTACTCTTGGGAAACCCATCAAAGGGTTCAGGTATCCCAACGTAATTAAGAGAGAAGTAAAGTGATTCGCAGGATAGAAATAGACCTCTGGTGTCAGGTAAGGAAACAGCTGTGTTTTGAGATGGCTTTCAGTCATGGTGACGACCTTGTCCTTTATCTTTTCGGAGGCCGCCATCTTGGAGCCTTTAGTAACTGTGGGTGTCCTGTCCTCCCCGCTCCAGCCTGCGTCATCAGTGAGACCCACAGGTCACGCTTGCTCACATGTTCCCAGTCTTGTGACTGCTCGGAGGGTTACAAGAGACAGAAGTGAGGGGTGGACTGTCCCCTAAGTGGGCCATCTCCAGGACAGCCGCGGAGAAGGCAGGAGCAGGGCTCTGCGTCGCCTGGGAACCTTTTACCAAGTCAAAGCAGCGTCCTCTCATGGCGAGGGCTGGAGGGGAAGCGCCTGGGGTTGGGGGCTGAGTACTCACTCGGCTCTGGACTGTGCTCCCACCCACCCACTTTGATCGGGTGGGACTTCCTCCCCCCAGGACGGCAGGTCCCTGTGAAAGAAGACGCAGTCACCTCCCCGTAGACCTCCCTCAGCTTGTAAGTCAGAGTCCACACACCTGAGGCTTCTCAGAAACTGCTTTTTCAAAAGAGTTCTTACGCTCTGTGGGTCCCAGGACAAGTCCCCACTGTTCACCGACTCATTTTTGTCGCGCCTGCCCCGGGAGGCGCCTTCAGAGGGCGAGCCAGGTGACCCTGCAGAAGGTCTGCTTGGTTTCTGTTGGTTTCTCGGCTGGGGGGCTGTCCCCGCTTCCTGACACCCTGGTTTTCCTTCCTAGGAGAGAAGAGGTTGCAGAGGGAGAAGTGTGAGCAGGCTCTGGACACCCCAGAAGACCTGAGGGGCGCTATTCAGCTCCCCGTGTTGAGACAGGGCAAAAGTCCCTACAAGCGTGGCTTGGATGAGGGGGACGGGCACCCCCAGGCCAAGAAGAAGAAGATCGACCTCATTTTTAAGGACGTGCTGGAGGCGTCCCTGGAATCGGCCAAGGTGGAGGCCCACCAGCTGGCACTGAGCACCTCGCTGGTCATCAGGAAAGTCCCCAAGTACCAGGACGATGCCTATGGCCGGTGTGCCACAGCCATGACCCACAGCATGCAGGGCGTCAGCCGGACCCAGGGGGACGGGGACTGGAAGACCCCCCCGGGGGTGGCCAAGGAGCCAGGCCCCCTGGAGGATGAGGAAGAGGAGCCTTCGTCGTTCAAGGCCGACAGCCCCGCCGAGGCCTCCCTGGCGTCCGATGCCCACGAGCTGCCCACCACCTCCTTCTGCCCCAACTGTATCCGCCTCAAGAAGAAGGTGCGGGAGCTTCAGGCCGAGCTGGACATGCTCAAGTCTGGGAAGCTCCCAGAGCCCCCCGTGTTACCACCCCAGGTGCTGGAGCTCCCAGAGTTCTCGGACCCCACAGGTAAGCGGGTGTGGACGCCACTGTTGCCGAGGGAGGAGCGACGGGCTGTGGACGGGGCCGTGGGCCTCTGTCGGAGCTGTCCTCTGGGGACCCCAGGCGCCCTGTCCTCAGGTGCCCATGGCAGGCCRGCCGCGGCTCTGGTGGGACGCTTCACGTGCTGCTCTGTGTCAATAAAAGACATCCGCTGCAGGAGGGGCGTGTGCTGTGTTCTTGACCTTTGCCTTTCTCTGATGGCCCCACCAGGGTGCCACCCAAAGCCCAGCTTCTCTCCTCCATGGCCCAGCAGGGAGTCCCTCTGGGGAGCCCCCCCCCCCATCTCTATCTGGAACGTGGCCTTGTCCTCTGCCAGGGTCTGCTCTTCCCCTCATGGTCCCAGTTCCCCACCTGGAGTTTTCAGAGGATGGGACTTCGGGGGTCCAGGGTGACCAGCTGCATGGCTTTGCCCCTTCTGTGCTGGTGCTCGGATCTCGTGGAGCTAGTTGAGAACCGGGCCGGGTCATCGGTGCYCCTCTGCAGCCGGGGTGGCCTGCCCACGGGCGCCTCATCCCTCAGCCACGCCCCGAGTTCCCAACAACGAGGTGGTGCAGGTCCTCAAGCTCACATCTGAGCTCAAGCGCGTTCTGACCCCGAAATCACAGGGGGCCAGAGCCACGCGGCCTTCATTCCGGGGCAGCAGGCCTCCTCTGACCTCATGAGTGGAGGGCACACAAGTCCCTGTCCTCCACGGGTGACCTGGGGCTGTTTGGGGTGCCCCAACAGTTTGCTCCTCCAGTTTGTCTTCTCTGTTGATGGGGAACGTTGCAGTCTCGGAGCACCCCCGGGTGGGCGGAGGGCGGGCAGCCTGGAACACGGTGGGTGGTGGCCAAAGGCCACCTGGACCATCCCCAAAGAGGGAGAGTCACCTGTGGAGAACAGAGTGCTTGGAAGTGAACTCCAGGCTGGGGTTCCATCCCTCTCAGGCAGCTGTGGGGTCTCGCCTTTAGACGCTGTTTCGTGTTGCTGTCGYGGAAACCCGTTCTTGCCACCGGGTGTAAGTGCTTCTTTCGAATTTGTTTTCCAGCCTCCGAGAGCATGGTCTCGGGCCCCGCCATCATGGAGGACGATGACCAGGAGGTCGACTCGGCCGATGAATCCGTCTCCAACGATATGATGACCACGACCGACGAGCCGTCCAAGATGTCCTCCGCCACCGGACGCCGGATCCGGCGCTTCAAGCAGGAGTGGCTGAAGAAGTTCTGGTTCCTGCGGTACTCGCCGACCCTCAACGAGATGTGGTGCCACGTGTGCCGCCAGTACACGGTGCAGTCCTCCCGCACCTCGGCCTTCATCATCGGCTCCAAGCAGTTCAAGATCCACACCATCAAGCTGCACAGCCAGAGCAACCTGCACAAGAAGTGCCTGCAGCTCTACAAGCTCCGCATGCACCCCGAGAAGACGGAGGAGATGTGCCGCAACATGACCCTGCTCTTCAACACCGCCTACCACCTGGCCCTCGAGGGCAGGCCCTACCTGGACTTCCGGCCGCTGGCCGAGCTGCTGAGGAAGTGTGAGCTCAAGGTGGTGGACCAGTACATGAACGAGGGCGACTGCCAGGTGCTCGTCCACCACATCGCCCGGGCGCTGCGGGAGGACCTGGTGGAGCGCATCCGCCAGTCCCCGTGCCTCAGCATCATCTTGGACGGGCAGAGCGACGACCTGCTGGCCGACACGGTGGCCGTGTACGTCCAGTACACCAGCAGCGACGGGCCCCCGGCCACGGAGTTCCTGTCCCTGCAGGAGCTGGGCTTCTCCAGCACAGAGAGCTACCTCCAGGCGCTGGACCGGGCCTTCACCACCCTGGGCATCCGGCTGCAGGACGAGAAGCCCACGGTCGGCTTGGGAGTGGACGGGGCCAACATCACGGCCAGCCTGCGGGCCAGCATGTTCATGACCATCCGCAAGACGCTGCCCTGGCTGCTGTGCCTGCCCTTCATGGTGCACCGGCCCCACCTGGAGATCCTGGACGCCATCAGYGGGAAGGAGCTGCCCTGCCTGGAGGAGCTGGAGAACAACCTGAAGCAGCTGCTGAGCTTCTACCGCTACTCGCCCCGGCTCCTGTGCGAGCTGCGCTCCACGGCCGCCACCCTCTGCGAGGAGACCGAGTTCCTGGGGGACATCCGGGCCGTGCGCTGGGTCATCGGGGAGCAGAACGTCCTCAACGCCCTCATCAAGGACTACCTGGAGGTGGTGGCCCACCTCAAGGACGTCAGCAGCCAGACGCAGCGGGCGGACGCCTCGGCCATCGCCCTGGCCCTGCTGCAGTTCCTCATGGACTATCAGTCGGTCAAGCTCATCTACTTCCTGCTGGACGTGATCGCCGTCCTCTCGCGCCTGGCCTACGTCTTCCAGGGCGAGTACCTGCTGGTGTCCCAGGTGGAYGACAAGATCGAGGAGGCCATCCAGGAGATCAGCCGGCTGGCCGACTCCCCGGGGGAGTACCTCCAGGAGTTCGAGGAGAACTTCCGGGAGAGCTTCAACGGGATCGCCGTGAAGAACCTCAGGGTGGCCGAGGCCAAGTTCCAGTCCATCAGGGAGAAGATCTGCCAGAAGACCCAGGTCATCCTGGCCCAGAGGTTCGACTCCCGCAGCCGGATCTTCGTGAAGGCCTGCCAGGTGTTCGACCTGGCCGCCTGGCCCAGGAGCAGCGAGGAGCTCGTGAGCTACGGCAAGGAGGACATGGTGCAGATACTCGACCACCTGGAGGCCATCCCCACCTTCTCCCGGGACCTCGGCCAGGAGGGGCTGGACCCGCGGGGCAGCCTGCTGACGGAGTGGCGGGAGCTCAAGGCCGATTACTATACCAAAAACGGCTTCAAAGACCTCATCAGCCACGTCTGCAAGTACAAGCAGAGGTTCCCGCTCCTGAACAAGATCATCCAGGTCCTGAAGGTCCTCCCCACGTCCACCGCCTGCTGCGAGAAGGGCCGCAGCGCCCTCCAGAGGGTCCGCAAGAACCACCGCTCCCGCCTGACCCTGGAGCAGCTGAGCGACCTGCTGACGGTCGCGGTCAACGGACCGCCCATCGCCAACTTCGATGCCAAGCGAGCCCTGGACAGCTGGTTCGAGGAGAAGTCGGGCAACAGCTACGCACTGTCGGCCGAGGTCCTCAGCAGGATGTCGGCCCTGGAGCAGAAGCCGGCGCTGCAGGCCGTGGACCACGGGTCCGAGTTCTACCCGGACATGTAGGGAGCCCGGCTGCAGAGTCCACGAAGCTGTTGAATATTTTTTTAATCTATACTCATAAGCTTTGATATATTATATAAATCTATATTATATTATATTATATTATATTATATATATATATAAAACCCACACTGAAAATTTTTAAAAACCAAGGTGACACGTCCACCGGAAGCTACTAGGAGCTTTCAGAAAGGAACGACGTCGGAAACCGACGCCTGTCTAGGACACTTGGCAGCTTGAACCTACGTGGCGACCCGTTTCCACTCACAGAAGCATGTGCTGGGCCCGCGTGTCCCCACCCGACAGTCACCGACAGCATGAGCTAAATGACGGGTCTCTGTCACGGCCTCTAGGTAGCTCGCTCTGTTCCTGTCTCCACTGGGGGGTGAGGGAGGTGGGTTGGGCTGGGGGTTTATGTTCTCGCCATTTTTTCTGTTGGGTTTAATGGTGGGGTTTGGGGGGGTGGCTCTTGGCTTCTTCGTTGACATTCTGGTCCCGCTGAACCGGGTCCCCGACTCCCACCTGGTGGGTTGAGGTGTCCCCCTCCCCCACCTGACGTCAGTCTGACGGATTTGTTTTACTCATTCCCTTCGCTGTCCCACAAACACAGGTGTCGGTCGTACTGTGAACCCACCCCGCCCCCACCCGTCACCTCCCGTCCCTGGTTGTCTGTTCGCTCCTTCCAGGCCCCTGGATTGAAAGACAGAACCCGTTCTCTGGAAGGCGGAAGGGCCTTAGAGCCGAGCCTGCAATCCAGGGGAAGGGGGAGGGCGGCTTTGGGCATCCCTGTTATCCACGGTGGAGGATAAGATGGCAGAATCCCACTCAGACCCAGGGCCGCTGGGAGACGAAAAGCCAGCAAATCCAGACCCCCAACGGGGCGGTGATTTTTGGCTAAAAACAAGTAAAATGAAAAGTATCTATTGGATTGACATGGATTATTTATACTCTGTCTTTATAATCATATACTGTTGGGGGGGTATTTTTGTTTTCCTTTAATAATCAAGCACCTGCAAGGTAGCTAYGGAGCAGGAGCTGTCAATGCAAGTTGTGCCCTGGGTTACGTGTCACTCCAAGAGCGTCCCCAGGGAGGTGGTCCGGGCTGGCGCCGCGCTCCGCAGCCCAGCAGGAAGGTCCTGGGAGACTGGGCAGTGCTTCTAGGCCTGTGAGCTTCCTTTTTTTGAACAGGGTAGAGATGTCCCAAAGAAAAGGAGCAAACAGGAAGCGGGACCAGATTCTCAAGGCGTCAACTTGGACACACACACACACACACACACACACACACACACACACCACAACCACAATATAAGCTTTAGAAATGGCCACTTGCCCACTCCCTGGGGCAAGCAGTGGTGTAAGCGAGGAGTCTGATCTGAGCTCCTCCGGTCATTTAACTACAGTATACCTCGCAGGGGAGTCTTCAGATATGTGCGTGAGCTGTTAAAGCTTCTCTTCACGTTTCCACACGTGATTTGTGCGTATTTTATATGCAGAGATCCTAAGGTGGACGCAGGTCGTATTGGGGGAGGGACAGGGATCTGGACCCCGCGTCCCCGCTCGGCTGTCCCTCCCCATTAGTGGAGGGTGTTGAGATCAGGCCTTGGCCTTCGTGGCTCAGACACTGTGCAGCTGTGGTGGCTCCCTTACTCTTGGTTTATCTGTGTCTGCGACCTRGTGCCACCGTGAGAACCAGAGTGGAAAGGTCATCAACACTGAACGTCACCGCCCCTTCCTGGCCCCGCCGGTCCTGCCCCTCACAGATCCTTCCTCTCACCCCCATGGTCTTGGTGCTAAGATAACTTTAGAATCATTGCTGCTAGTCGATAGCTTTTCATTATAAATATATATATTATTATATTATATTATATATTATTTTTGAAATGTTCTTGTTTGTTTTCAATGGTGATGTAGCATGTTRAAACAAAACAAAACAGAAAACAGAAAACAGAACTGGGTTCCTCCCACTGTCCCACTGCCGGGCCTCATATGCTGCCTTCTTCAACAATCAATGCACCTGCCTGGTGACCTTCACCCGGCCCCCACCCAGCCGCACACCTCCACCCTCTCTGAGCAAGGGGAGAGCAGGAGAGGCCCCCAACCCCTCTCAGATGCTTGAAATTCCCAGCCTGGTTCCACTCGCCTGCCCGCAATCTCCCTCCACGGCTCCTCCCATCTGGGCCTAACCGGGGTCACCATCAAGGTCCAGTGGGATTCTGTTGCAAAGCACAAGGTCCCTTGTTCCCCAGCTCCTGCTCAGGGACTTCCTGTCCCCTCTTACACACAGACTCCTGTCTGGGGAGCGTCACTGCACATTGCAGAGACCAGGGCTGGTTGGCAAGGTGGCCTCAGGTGCCGGGCAGAAACAGTGGGGGGGCTCTTTCCTCTGCCAACAGTTGCCTTACCCCTGATTCCCTTGACCCACTGCACGGGGACCCTCTGCCAGGAGGGTCAGACCACTCCTGAGCACCGAGTCAGGGCTGTGACTATTCCCCCAAGGCCCCTAGCCAGAAAGAGCTGAGTCTTCAGCTAGGGGGAAGGATCCCTCAAGCCCATGTCAGTGCCTACCCTGAGGGACCTGGCCCAGGGCTTGGAAGAACTCACTGCCACTAGCAGGATCTGGCAGGAGGAGGTCACACCCTTGCAATGGCTTGAGGCTCTGAGCAGCTGAACCCGTAGGTGGCGGTCAGTCTGTCAAGGGCCTCTCAAACTCAGGTGCTCACAGCTTCCACCAACCCAGCTAGGCCCCGGGCTGTGGCGGGCTCTCTGTAGGCCACTGCGCCTYGGGATGGGGGTAACCAGGGAGCCACATGGGACGTGCCACTGCGATTCGCACCAGGTCTTTTCCTGGGAGGTTCAGGGTTTCGTCCTGTGAACCCTGCTTGGGATGATACGTGCTTCTGTCCTGGGCTTGTCCCACTCCTCCCCTCCGGAGATGGGCTCCGGGTGAGGGGGCACTCCAGGTCTGACCCAGGGAACCACATGCTTTACTAGCCCAGTACCTTGAACAGGTATAAAAACTGTGGACAGGTGGCCCGCCTCCCAGGTGTGGTCACTGCAGATGAGACAGAGCCCTGAACTCAGCCCYGGCTTAGGAGGGACCTCCACAGACGGAGAAGGAGAATGTGTCTAGAGCTGAGGCTTATCCTCACTGGGTGGCTGGTTGGAGGTTTCTTTGGCTCATGAAGTGGGTGGGCAGTGAGGTCAAGACTGAGGCCCAGGTTGGTGACCAGTTGTGCCAAGTAGTTGCGCTGCACAGCCCGGAGCCACAGGCCCTCATGATTAAAACAATCTGCTTTTCCTCAGAGACACCCAATGCCATCTAATGTCTGTGAAAGGGGAGCCCCCCCCCACCCCCCGTCTGCAACTCCCACCTGGTCAGACACCCCGGGCAGTTCTGCCTGCCTGTTGGAACAGGGAGGCCACCGGAAACAGCAGTCTTTTTCCTTGTTCTTTTTCTTTTTTTTTTTTTAATGACTGCCTGTGACATCTTGTGATGCTGGGCACATCCTTATTTCTCCAGCCTCCCTGGGAATGAGAACAGGACCAAGCTCCGGAACCCCGAATGGCCAAGTTCAGGGCTGGGTCCTTGAGTCTGTGGTGGGTGGGCCCGGGKGTCTCTGCCCTCTGCCCCGCTCCTTGTTTCTGAGTCCAGTTGTCTGCTGAGGCCCTCCTCTTGCCTTGCTTGGGTGAGCCCCTTTCATTTGGAGAAAGGACTTTGTAATTCCATTTATTTGGGGGGGGGGGGGCATGTGGAAGGCTGAACCTGTCGTGGAGAGACAGAAATGGACACAGATTTGCCCAGCCTGGCCTTGGGCTGGCACCTGTGGGGCTCCAGAGGCAGCCCAGTGGGTCTCTTCTGGAGACCCCTGCCCTCTTCCACTTCCCTCCTCCTGCTCTGGGCACGGGAACTCTGTATCTAGAGCTGCTTTTGGCTTGGGGTCTCATGGGTTCATTTCCACGTGCGTGGCCTGTGCTTCTTGGCCCGTGCATCCCACTTTGGCAGAAGGCTCTACCACACTGGCACTCAGGCACACCCTGGGGTCCCTTCAGGAAGCACGCCTGGCCAGGGGAGGCAGCAGGCGGGCCTCTGGAGGCAAGAAAGGAGGCTGCCTGGGGCAGTTGAGTCCAGACCCCCTGCTGGGTTCCAGAGGGTTTGTCAAGAGATGTGGGAAGCCGTTTTCTGCTGGGAGGGAGGTCCTTCCTTTCCCGCTGTTGGTCCGGGCGCCTCAGTTGAGTGGATGGAGCTGTGGCTTCAAGGAGCCTTGGAGGTCGTCTTTGCCTGTTAGCCAGAAAAAGTGCCCTTTGGGGAGAAAAATGGTACGGCCCTCCTCTTCCAGCTCACACTCCTCCATCCACTCGGTGGCATCGCCCTGGAATACCTATGCAATCCAGTCCCCTCGGGAGGCCTGCGTGGAAGCGGGGGTGTGCGTGCACAATACTGATGCGACAACCTGTACATTGTATATAGGGACATATACGGGGTCTCCACACAGAGAAGATTAAATCACGTCTATATATCTATAAATAATATCCTATATATTTATACATTTCTATGTTTTAAATAGATATAAAAATAGAGTCTATGGAGCTGGAAGAGCAGAGGGAAGCCTGTGGCTGTGTTGTGCCAAGGGAGGGGCAGGTCCTTGGAGGAGGGTGGCCGGTAAGCTCATTGGGCAGAGTTTGCTGGCCGTGGGGCCTCCGACCCCGAGGGTGGGAGAGGAGGGTAGCTGGGTCCCCGCCTTCTCGGTGCACTTTCTCTCCTTTTCTACAGGCTTGGTCTGAGGTTGGAAGGAGACACCCCCGAGCTCCAGCTGAAGTGCCCCTACCTCCCCCCACCCCAAGCCTATGCTTGGCATAGGGTGTGGTCGCTGACCCTGTTGGAGGGACCACTGCACAAACTTCCCCTACCCTCCCTCAAGGGGGAATGGGCAACGCGTGTGGCCATAGGACAGGTGCCCAGGGATGGAGATAGCCCCTCCCCATAGTCGCCACTGCTGCCCCCT